CAATCCCAGCTTTGTTCATTCTTTTTGTTGGGCCGCCATCCTGAGGTATCAGGTGGCTGAGAGGAGAGCAGGTTGACTGTGACTGGGTCCAAGTTGTAAGTTCTCAAGATTGTTTCTCCCCTTTTGGTAGGCTGGGGAAATGCTGATACTGTTATTGAGGGCCCACATTAAGTCAGGTTTGGCTGGCCCTGGAGCATGTTGTATTACCCACAGTAGCCAAAATGATCAGTTGGGTAGCCAGCTATTTCTTTCACCCAGAACCCCGCCGCCCAAGGCAGGTCTCATCCTGAGCTGGAAGGACTCAGATGCCGTCATCATTGTTCCCCCATTATAAAGGGCTTTTTTTACCCTTAGTGCTGGTGGCAGGATTGGTGAAGTCTGGCCTTACTTAAGAGTTGGTCTCCGGTACTCTCCTGTCTCGGCTCTGATGTTGAGGGGTAGCAGAAGGGATTGTTTGCCAGGATGTGTGGCGCCAGCATCAGATTTAAGGCAGCTGTGGGTGGGTGGGTGCTGCATCTGACATCCTCTTTCTTTCACAGACCAACCGGAGAGCAAGAAACTGGCTTCTCAGGGAGACTGTAAGTCCATTGGGTGATGCAGGCAGAGGGCAGCTTCAGGATCTTAGGAGGTGGTTAGGAGTTGGGAGCTAGGAGTGCCAAGCACCTGTCCTTTATGGAGGCTCTAGGTGTTCATCACCTGGAGTTCATGAACTTTGGGGTTCCCATAGTCCCCAGAAATTGAGGCAGAAATACCTGGTGCCTGTGCTGTTGTGAGGAGGGTCCATTGTGCTCTAGTGCTCAGGACGGTTTCGACTGTAATAGTGCTAGTTGTCCCCATGGAGGCAGGAGCACCTGGGCCCAGTGGTAGTCTGGGTTCCAGAGAGGACCCAGGCCGATCTCTCCTTTGGATTTTCTCTCTGCAGCCATCAGTTCTCAACTTGGACCCATCCATCCTCCCCCCAGGTAAGTTGTGATTTGGAGAACAGGTTGTGTCCTTGTCTGTCAGCTGTCTCTGGCCTTTCTTACTGACTTGAAGGAGAATGCTGGGGGCCCTGCATCATCTGGGGCTGGTTCACCAGAGAGGTAGAAGGCACTGCCCTCATCCCTGTTCTTGTCTTCAAGGCTGGAGGGAGGAGAGGGTTATGGCACTTCACTGTAATGACAGAATGGTGGTCTCTGCACCCTGGTGCTTCCTTTGTTGGGGAGGGGACACTCCAGAAGCACAGATGTCTGTTTTTCTAGAAAAGGCTGGGGTTTTTAATCCATGCTCTGCAAATGCTTGTTCCCTGGGAGCTGATGGAGCCTGGGGAGGGGGAGGTCTTTCCTACTTTTTTGCACCCCCCCATGACTTCAGTGACTCTGACATAGAAGCCTTTGTGAAGGACCACATTATTATTATTATTATTATTTTATTTTAATTTTTTTTTAATGGGCCAAAAATTTTGTAAAATACAATAAAGTGATTTGCTAGGATAATGAAATAAAGGTGCAAAGTTATTTTCTTTCAAAGTCAAAAGTGTCCAGGTGTGCATTCTGTCTCTGAGTCAGAGACAGCACTGGTCCAGGGGCTGCACTGCCCCAGAACAAGCCTCTCATGGCCCAGGTGGGAGAACTGAGGCTTCAAGAAGTGGAGGGGGCCTCAGCCTCGTGCTGTTAGATTCTGCATAGGTTTATGGGGTCTTGGTTCCATCGTAGGAAGCAGGGTCAGAAACCAGAAACGTTGGGGGACCTTTTTTCCGGTGAGACCCTCTGCTTCTTTCCCATTTGAGACATTCATTGTCTCTTTGCAGGACTTCAATGACAGAGGAATACAGGGTCCCAGACGGCATGGTAGGACTGAGTGAGTATGGGTCACTGTGATCTGGGGTGCCCATTATACCCACTGCACCACGCCAGGATAATGTCCTGGAAGCTCCTGCCAGCCCAGAAGCCTTTGGTCTGAAAGAGTCTCTCCTATTCTGCTCTTATCTGTTCTTTCTGGACTGGAAGAACAGTGGAGCTCTCGACATGCCTGTTGCCCCCTTTGAACATTAATATGGCCCTCCACCACCTCATTTACTCAGTGCTGGCTCCTCCCATCAACTCTGCTTTTCTTTCTTTAAAATTCCATTTCAAAATAACTTCTTTTCTTCTCTCTTCTCCACCTAGTCATTGGCAGAGGTGGCGAACAGATTAACAAAATCCAGCAGGATTCAGGCTGCAAAGTCCAGATCTCTCCAGGTATGAGTGAGCCAGATTCCTGCTAGAATGAATGCTGGGCTGGGGCTGAGCTCTTTGCACTTTAGTAATCCCCTCACTTTTAACTTGACTAATAGATATGAAATGTGTTTATTTTATTTATTGAGTGCCTTCTATGTACCAGGCACAGTGTAGTATTTCCACTATACAGCACCTCAAGGTGTAGCTGTCACTTTTGTTTTCTTTCATTTTATAGGTAGGGGGAGGGCTGAAGGGGAAGATCTAGAGTTGAACACAGATAGCCTCGTTCCAGATGTGCTGTGAACCATTATGTTAAGTCGCCACCTAAACAAAACACCTAGTGGAAACCAGATGGGAATATGGGAGGCAGCAAGGCTCATTAGAAAGAAAAACTATGTGGGCCGGCCTGGTTTGAGTCCTAATTCTGCCTGCTTCTCTGTAGTAGTCTGCTTTTGGGGGGTTTCTGAGGCCTTTCTCTAGCAGAGTGGAGTTTGTTGACTAGAGGCTGTGCATGTGATTGTTAGTGGCAGCGGGAGTGGCCCAGGGTTTGGACCTTCCACTACCTGCCTCTCCTACCTCATCTTTTTCTCTAAAAGGTCTGCCTTCTTTCTTAGACTTTAAGCTTCCTGACCTTGCATAGCATAGTCTCCCAGGTAAATTGATTGGTCAGGCTGCTGAATGGTAGCAGAAATGGCTCGTGATTGTTCTGGAAGTTTCCTTGTCGCCACTAAAGACTTTTCCAGGGTCTGCAGGCCTGGGAAGGCACTGACCCTATCTCTTTTTCTCTCCAGACAGTGGTGGCCTCCCTGAGCGCAGTGTGTCCTTGACAGGAGCCCCAGAATCTGTCCAGTAAGTGCCTGACTGGGCCTGTCATTGTGATGGGAGTGGGCAGAAGTTCTCTTGATTCCATTGAAAGTTGGGAGTGACTCCCATACCACGTCCTTATACCCCCGCCCCAGGGACCATAGTACTCTCTTCCTCGTCATCTGTTAATCGCATGTGTTGGAGTCACCTTTGCTTTTGAGCTGGGGTCTGGGGCTCGCTATGCCAGTACTCTTTCAAGTGACGCCACCCCATTCTTTCCCTTCCTAGGAAAGCAAAGATGATGCTGGATGACATTGTCTCTCGAGGTCGTGGGGGCCCCCCAGGACAGTTCCATGACAACGCCAATGGGGGCCAGAATGGCACAGTGCAGGAGATTATGATCCCCGCAGGGAAGGCTGGCCTGGTCATCGGCAAAGGCGGGGAGACCATTAAACAGCTACAGGTGAGGGAGTGGAGCGGAGGACAGAAGGTTCCTTCCATCCCAAGAAAGTTTCCTTCCTGTGTCTGGTCTGCACACCACTCCCCACCCCCAGCTGCTTTGCCAGTCTTTTATCCTTTTTGATCATGGACCCCGGCCCCAAGTGCACTAGTCCCAAGAAAGTTGTTTGAACGTCCTGCACTGACAGTCGACATTGGTTTTAAAGGAACGAGCTGGAGTAAAGATGATTTTAATTCAAGATGGTTCCCAGAATACAAATGTTGACAAGCCTCTTCGGATCATTGGGGATCCTTACAAAGTGCAGGTGAGTGCACCCTGCTGGTGGTGGTGGTGGTGGTGGTGGTGGGTTCCAGAGAAGTGAAAGAGAGCTGGTGGGCTGTCTGGAGATTTGAATGAAAGTGGAGAGATTTTTAAAAGCACTGACTTTGAAGTCAGCCCAGTGTTCATGTTGTATTGAACTCTCCCTCCCAGTGGTTTGTACATGAGCAAGTGGCCTAATTCTGATCCTCCATTTTCTCATCTGGAAAATGGAGGTGTTGGCCGTGCCTGCCTCTCAGGGTAGCAGATACAGAGTTTAGCACCTGCGTGTCAGTCCTTAGCTTAGACCTGTGATCTCTTGGTTTATGGGAGGCTGGGGGTACAGTGGGGCAGCAGAGCTTGCCATGTGTAACATGCCCTGTGTCTTTATAGCAAGCCTGTGAGATGGTGATGGACATCCTCCGGGAGCGTGACCAGGGTGGCTTTGGGGACCGGAATGAGTATGGATCCCGGATTGGTGGGGGCATTGATGTGAGTACAGGCCTCCCCCAGAAATGGAGGGCCATGGGGTTGGGGTGAGGGGCTCATATCCAGTAGGCAGTAAAGGCAGCAGAGCTGCAGGAACAGAACTTGGCTGACCCTCTTACCTCCCTCCCTCAGGTGCCAGTGCCTAGGCATTCTGTTGGTGTGGTCATTGGCCGGAGCGGAGAGATGATCAAGAAGATCCAGAATGATGCTGGTGTGCGGATCCAGTTTAAACAAGGTCAGGACCGAGTCGTGTGGATGTGTAGGCCAGTGCTATTCTCTTAAGATCACTCTAAGTGTCCACTGTAGGCAGCTTGGCACCATGGTTAGCCTGCTGAGCCTTTTCGTGGTGCCTCTTTATGCCTGAATCTTGTCTGTCTCCTCGGTGAGACAGCCCCGTGAGAGAGCTGATCATGGCAGACTTTTCGTTTTCCTCTCCTATCAAATCTACCTCATCTTTCTCCCACCAGTGGCCCATCTCAGCGAGGCAGCCTGGATAACTTGGGTACCCTGGGCTGGATCAGATCACTGCCTCAACTCTGGGCTTCTGCCAAGCCTGTGAGAGTCTGTGGGGAGGAGGGACCCCTCTGCTGATTTTCAGAGATTTGTTCTTAGTTCTATAAAATGCATGTTAGTTCTGGGGGTTCCAACTGCAGAAAGAAGCCTCAGCCGCCTCCCTGCCAAGCTGGTCGGTTTTCTTCTCTGGGGACGTGGGGCCTGCCTGCCTCCTTCCTCACTCCTGAGTATGTGGAGTGTGGCAAGCGGCACTGAGTCTGAGATGTCTCAGACACCTAGCTTGGCACATTGCTGCCCTGAGGAGGCAGTGGTTTGGAGTTGTGCTTCTCTTTTAAATCCATGTCTCCGCTCTCTGGGTGCTGGCCTCAGATGATGGGACAGGTCCCGAGAAGATAGCTCACATAATGGGGCCCCCAGACCGATGCGAGCATGCGGCGCGGATTATCAATGATCTCCTCCAGAGCCTTAGGGTAGGTGGCATGGGGTAGGTGAGGAGCTTATGGGGGCAGGGGATGGGCCTGGCTTCCTGCATTCATTCTCCATTTCCTCCTTGTCTCGTAGAGTGGTCCCCCAGGCCCTCCAGGGGGTCCTGGCATGCCCCCAGGGGGCCGTGGCCGAGGAAGGGGCCAGGGCAACTGGGGCCCACCTGGTGGGGAGATGACCTTTTCCATCCCCACTCACAAGTGTGGGCTAGTCATCGGCCGAGGTGAGTAGCCTTCTCCCTGCCCCTTGTCCTTCACCCACTCTTTCTTCCTACCCTCCATTCACTGCCTGTGTCCCCTGCAGGTGGTGAGAACGTGAAAGCCATAAACCAGCAGACAGGCGCCTTTGTAGAGATCTCCCGGCAACTTCCGCCCAACGGGGACCCCAACTTCAAACTGTTTATTATCCGGGGCTCACCCCAGCAGATTGACCACGCCAAGCAGCTCATTGAAGAAAAGATCGAGGTGGGCTCATGGAGGGCTCTGGGGGCCTAGGCCTGGCTCCTGGCTCCTACCCACTGACCTTGTCACACATTCTCCTTTTTCCAGGGTCCCCTCTGCCCAGTTGGACCAGGCCCAGGGGGACCAGGCCCTGCTGGTCCCATGGGGCCCTTTAATCCCGGGCCCTTCAATCAGGGGCCACCAGGGGCTCCCCCTCAGTGAGTATTCCTCTCATCTGCCTGGGCTTTGGGGCTTTGGGACATAGATGGGGGTCAAAATGCTGGCAAGAAGACTAATAGGCCCTGTTTCCATTTCCATTTACTACCAAGAGGTCCATCTTCATCTTTAAGAAACAGTGATTATTCGGTCCCCAAACATGATTCATTTCAGCTCTATTTCAGACACCATCTTTTACACGATGCTATAGGTGTTGACCTTGGCCTCCACCCCATATGTAAATTCATGCATGTTGATTTTGGGGGGTCTTTGTTTCACAGGCTGGTTCTCATGCATTGTTAGTTGTCTCACATCTTTCCCTGGGCCTCCTTACTACTAGTCATCCCTGCCCCTGCAGAGGAGCAGCCCCCACTCATGTGTTCTCCATCTTTCTCCTGCAGTGCTGGGGGCCCCCCTCCTCACCAGTACCCACCCCAGGGCTGGGGCAATACCTACCCCCAGTGGCAACCACCTGCTCCTCATGACCCAAGTAAGTAAGGCACCCATTTGAGGGGCAGCACAGGGTCTGGGCACAGGACTGGCTTTCCCTGTCACCCCTCAGCCTGCATTGCTCTCCTCTTGCAGATAAAGCCGCCGCGGCCGCTGCAGACCCTAATGCAGCCTGGGCCGCCTACTACTCACACTACTACCAGCAGCCCCCAGGCCCTGTGCCCGGCCCCGCACCTGCACCCGCAGCCCCACCTGCCCAGGGCGAGCCCCCTCAGCCCCCACCTGCTGGCCAGTCAGATTACACTAAGGCCTGGGAAGAGTATTACAAAAAAATCGGTGAGTGTGTGGGCTGCTGCTGGGTTCATCAGTCAGAGGGGCAGAGGAGGGCAGCTGTGTCCCCTTGCTGTCCTCTGACCTTGGTGCCCGCTTCCTGCAGGCCAGCAGCCCCAGCAACCTGGAGCTCCCCCACAACAGGACTACACGAAGGCCTGGGAGGAGTACTACAAGAAGCAAGGTGAGTTGTACAAAAAAATAGTCGCGGAGGTGTAAGTACAGCATAGGGAACCTAGTCAGTACGATTTTTGTATGGTGGTCATGTCCTAAGGAATTTCAGTGGCGAATCACTGTTGTACACCTGAAACTAATACAATATTGTATGTCAGTTGTACTTCAACATAATTCTTTTTAAAAAAGAGGCTGAGCTAATGGGGCCTGAGGCAAGGCAGGGGCCAGGCCTACTCTTGGCTAGCCACACTCACCCTCTCCTCCCCAACAGCTCAAGTGGCCACTGGAGGAGGTCCAGGAGCGCCGCCAGGCTCCCAGCCAGACTATAGCGCCGCCTGGGCTGAATACTACCGACAGCAAGCCGCTTACTACGGACAGACCCCAGGTCCTGGCGGCCCCCAGCCTCCACCCACACAGCAGGGACAGCAGCAGGCAAGTGGGAATTGCCACCCTCCTCCTCCTCCTTTTTCCTTCCAACCCCCAGCCACCGTCCATCCTGCCTTAGTGGGTAGCGCCGGAAATCCCTTCCCCTGCGGGGTGTGTCCTTGATGCCTGCAGCGGGGGCCGTGTGGCTGGAGGTCTCCGGGAGTCCCCATGAGCCAGGGGAAGTGTGCGCTGGGTCCAGAGGTTAAAGAAGAGGCCTCCCTCCGCCGGCTCGCTTGTTCCTGTGTAATGCTGTCGTGATGCTGGGGGAGAGTGCGAGACAGATAAAAGGTGGAACTGTTGAACTGGTGGGTAGTCCTGGGGGTGGGGGCAGCCCGGCCACTGCAACTTTGGTCACCATCCTGGCTGCTAACTCAAAATCTGGCCACTTGGGAAAAAAATGGATATTTTTTCCCCTCTCTGCATTACTTTTTTGGCTTTTGTTCTTTTGTTTTTAAACCCACGATCTTCTCCCTGACGGTGTCCAAGTGACTGTGCAGGCAGCCCCAGCCTGGGGTGGCCCCGGCTCCAGCAGGGATGCAGGGAGCCTGCAAAGGGGACCGGCCCCGGAGCATCTGCTCCGCCTGGGCTCGGCCTCTGCTCTCACGCCCATGTCTGTGTCCCGGTCTTGTCTGTGAAGTGGGCATGATGATCGCTGCCACCTTCCAACCTACCTCACAGGGGTGTTGTGGGGACACCGTGATCTCTGAGATTGTTCATGTTCTGATGCGCCGGGAGCCACCGCCTTCTCCCCTGCAGACCCTGACTTCGCTTCTCTTTCTTCTGCGGCCCCTGCTTCTCTCCTTCTTGCCTTTGTGTCACTCTCTCCTCCTCCTCCTTCATCAAGGAGCCAGTCTGACTTCAGCCGAGTCCCCAGAGCACTTGACTAGACAGTTACAGGCACATCCTGCTAGCCACTGGCTTGGGAGAGGGGCTTCCTGGCCCCCTCCTTACTATCCCCGTCTCCCGCCCCTGCCTCCCCCCTCCCTGTAGTGACCAATTCCTATCTCTTCCCTCTCCGCAGGCTCAATGAATCGAATGAATGTGAACTTCTTCATCTGTGAAAATTCTTTTATTATTATTTGTTTTGTTTGGGGGCTTAGTTTTTGGTTTTGTTTTTTTTTCCATTTGTTAGGCGAGAGAGTGATGGCTGCTATGGGAGGTGTGGGGCAGCCCTCTCTATGAGTGGCTTGGAGGTTAGTGCCCGGCTCTCACTCTCTCGCTCGTTCTGTCTCACATCCTTTTTTTCTTTCAAAATTGGGATCCTTCATGTTGAGCCAGCCATAGAAGATAGCGAGAATTAAATCTCTGCCAAATTTTTTTCTAATAAAAAACACAAAAAGTGAAACAAAACCTATAAAGTTAAATAGATATATATATATAAATCTCTATATCCCACCCCCAGCCTTCCTAAAACTGCTTCTTTCAAGGGAAAGCAATTTATTTTCTCCCTAACACCCGTGGCCCTCTTCCTGTTTTTAAAATAAACTTTTGAAAAGGAAAAAAAGACACTCTTGCTATTTCTTTTTTTTAGTTAGAGTTGGAACATTCCTTGGACCAGGTGTTGATATTGCAGGGAAACCTGCCCCCC